TAAGTCTATTGTACGAAGCGAGAGGAGCACCAAATAAAAACGTGACACGAGCTTTCCGCGAACTGTATTTATTTCCGAAGTTTCTTTACCCCTGCAGGTAAAGGAACTTACGTTTCGTAAGCATGCAGTCACTCAAGTCTTCTCATGGTCAGCACTGCGATGTTCAACGGAGACAACCGGCACCCAGTTCGCGCACTTTATGTCTTACCTTTGCTATTCCTCGAGCCACAATTCCTTCGTCAACCGTTGCGTCAACCGCACATCACGGAGGAGTGAAAATCATTCGCCCGCAAAACCACAAGCCGCTCTAAAAAAAAGCAGATCCGAAGCAACCTCTTGGCTTATCTCAGCACGGTAACACGAAATTATGGCGTAGCCGCGTAGCGTAAAAGGATGTTAAATCGCTTGCCACCAGATGGCAGGGTCAAGCTGAGTAATCGCAAGTAGCTAGGCTAGGTGGCGCTAGGTACCGCCGAATTCATGTTTTACAAAAAAATTATTTTTATTCTCCTACCCCACAATAGCGTTTCCTTTTCTTCGGGAATCTCTAACACGTGCAGACACGTTACGCACACTAGAAGCATCAGGTGAACATACATTGAGCGCATATACATACAAACATCAATACAACAGCACACTACCCCGATCACTACTCCCGAGCCCTGCGTTTCCGTCTTTTATACTGGTCGTTTTGAACGTACGGAATTTTTCGGTGACTTTCTAAGCAATAAGAAATATTCCGAACCTGTTCATTTTTTGCCAGCAATGTCATACATCTGAGAATATTTTTAACGGCTCAGGGGATGAATCTCTTATTAAAAAGAATACGCTCGATCATGCCGTAAATATTTGAAAGCCAATAAATCGAGCCGCTCCAATGTGGTTCCAAGCCTTGGGTTTGTTTTCCCGCACGGCCCTTCGTAGCCAGTATTTATACCGTAGTGTTTGTTTTTCTATTTGTGCTGTTCGCGCACGGCTGCAATTGCCGTCTTGAATTAATCTTTGTAGAGCGGATATTCACTCAGCTGGAAGTGATGCTTCACGGGCAGAGAAATCGCTTTTCGATCTTTTCGATCAACTTGAATGCAGTCAAAGCCGCGACTTGCGGCAACTGTTAAGTGTACGGAGCTACGCCGTTGCGAGCTCGAAAACTTCTTGCGCTCACCCCAGCGCGCCAATTGGAGGGCAGTTTCTACAGGAACCGTAATATATTTAAACAGTAAAATAAAGGATAGCATTTTTTTTCTCGATTTCACCTGTTTATTTTTATGCTAAACTTCCATTGTAAATATACGTACTTTCCGTCATACTTTCGTACTGTTCAGTCTTTTCCCCAGAGCGCAATCGCTCTCGCGGACCGACAGTCACATTGGCCACTGTACGATAGGAGCTTGCCGTTCAGACCAGCGTTCCATGCATGACTATCCACACGTCGATCGACTGCACCTAATCCCTCAAGTGGTTTTAAACTCTTTAATGTAAAGCGGAATGTCATCCTGCGACACCCCGCCCCCTCCGATCACGGCCCGACCAGCGGCATCAATGCTCGACAGTTTACGTCATCTCATCTTGTTACACCACTGATACGCGAACACACGGTCACATCGGCGTTAATTCCAGTCTTCTGTTCACAACCCACAACACTGCCATCACGATGTCGCTGACACGCAGAAATACAGAACCACGTTGACGATGTTGCTGACACGCAGAAATACAAATTCACGTTGAACGCCGGTTGGCACTCGGCACGGGACAACAGAACCGAACTCAGCACGGAAGGCACCCAGGCAGCCGGCAGGAAAACCTGCCTGCCTTGGACGCAGTTCCCGCGAGTTCCATAACGTCGAAATGTCGACACAGTTCCTCGTGGTTTCGCTGCTGTAGTTCCGCGTGTGTCCAGCAAATCGGAGACGGCCGTCTTACCCAGTGTATATAGCGCTGCTGGCACTGCTCCGGAACTTCGCTGTTTCTAGCGGCTTCGTTAGCTCGTTTGATAAAATTAGTGGTAAAAACGTCAATGCAACCGAAATGTTCTGCATGTTTGGACTAGAAGACGGAATTACAGGCGGCCTTCGCTGCCACTGAAGCTCAATCAACTCAACATTAATTTATTAAACAACGTGCGCGATGTGCTCGAAAAACGAAACCGAAAGAAGATGAGTCGGGAGGGCGAAAACTTTCTCCGGTCGGCCTGGAGGAGGAAAACGTCTCGGTGAATAAGGACTTTAATTTTTCTTTCATCGGTCTGGGCTTGTTTATGTGTGTTTTGGTAAATAAAAAAAAAAACTTTACCGAAAAAAAAAAAAAAAAACAGAAGCCCACTTCTCTGGGGTTCGAACCTTTGACCACTTGGTCAGGAGCGCGATGTTTTACCCCTGCGCCAAGTGAACAAGGAGAAGCTCGGCCTCCTCCTTTCATCTGAAATGCGTTCCTCCCGTCTCTGGGCAACTTGTCCGCAACAAGGAGGAACGGTCGCTGTTGCTACCTTTCTCCTCCTTTTTTGCTTAGAGTGTGGTGGTCCTTAAAGGGCAATCCTAGCGCGGCACAGGTGCTAAGGAACACTAACGTAGGTTCTGATTTGTTTGTGCGTGTTTTTGTTTCCTGTCGATAACTCCATTTATTGGCAATATTCATCCTAAAAAGTGAGAAAAAAAAATGATTTTGCATGAACGCGTTTCCTCCAATAAAAACGAACATTGGGATACGCACATTTCATCAAATATTGAGGAAGTATCACAATGTTTGGTTGTGTTTCGGGGTGGGTAGATTATGGTAATATCATCTATATATGAACTGAAAAATTGCTGTAACCGCGAGACATGAATGCGCATGGCCTGTTCAAGTAGTTGCACTTTGTCTGAGAGACATATCTGGGATAGACAGCCTGTTCGCTTACGCCTCTAATAGCCACACACGTAAACAAAAGTATGGCCCCGGTGGTTCAGTGTCGACGCAATATACACCCTAAGAAATGCCTGCGCGTCTATTTAACCGCAAAACACTCAAAGAGCCAATCTGTGCGATTTCCGAAATCAGCTCAGTGAATGATGAGGCGGAACATTCGTTTAGACCTAAAAATGAAGTCTGCGCTGTGGTATTACGCAATGCAATGCGTCATGCTTGCGTTGCGTAATGCCACAGCGCAGACTTCATTATTAGGTATAAACGGATGTTCGGCCTCACCATTCGCTCAGCTGATTTCGTAGATCGCACAGATTGGCTTTTTGAGTGTTTTGCGGGTAAATAGACGCGCAGGCATTTTTTAGAGTATAGTCACCGTGACGGCTGAATAAGTGCAGGGCGTGGCACGTTCCGGAAACCTCATTATTGGTCATTAGCCAATGAGATTCTAGCATCATCTAATGGGAGCGCCGAAGAGCCAATAAAAAAACAAGTAGCGTGAAAATAATATGCCGCGCCTTGTGTTTCATAAGTTTTCAGTGACCAGCCAACCGAAATCAGTGACCCGTTAACATACTTTAATTTTTCTTTCTTTTTTTTTTTCTTACGAAGTACTCTAAACGAACACTACGCTTAAATTTTGGCGGCAATATTAAAAAAAAAAAAGTTCAAGGATGAGAGTTTTTTTTTCTCTCTCTTCTTTATATCGTTTGCCAGAAATATACAAAATGTGTCAGCCTGCGTTTTTTTTTTCGTCATATTTAACAAAAAAATATTCTCGAGAATTTTATTTCAAAAATTCGTGCGAACGCTTCGTAAGAATAACATGTATAATGGAATGCAAAACAAATTCCGTTGGGGTGTAGGATGATATCTTGCGGATTGTCTTAACTCTTCAAACAGCTTCAGCAAACTAAGGTTTTGGGAAATCGCTTACAACGTAATCCCGTTTCTCGTAGATGCTTACACATGCCTTGCATATGACGTCACCGTACCAACCGCCATTGCTCCGTACCGTGCTCCTGTGACCGTACGTTGTGCAGTATAAATTTCGAACCATTGAATTTGTTCCTCTTGGCAAATCATGCCGAAAAGAACAAATCCTATGATGCCAAATATATGCTGCAGAAGGTACGGGCATAGGAGTATGGTACGGAGCAATGGCGGCTGATGTGAAGTCAATGCAAGCCATGTATTGATAAGACAGCATATCACAGCCTTCTTGCTGCAGGTCCCAAGCATTATGTACTTTTTATGCAAATAAACATAATTATAATTTATTATTCATATTCATATTATTATTAATATTAATATTATACCTAGAAATATGTCGTAAATATGTGATATTTCGCATTAAGTTTTAATTATAATTTAGTCACGCTTGTGCTTTAAAGCTACCTACCAAAAATGCACATAATATTCGGCATACAACATTCCAAAGGTAGGTACACTCTAAAAAAAGCTCGTGCGTCTACTTTCCCGCACAACACTCGTAGAGCCAATCACAACTTACGGAGGCAGGTCAGCGAATGATGATTTCGAAACATATGTTTAGACCAAAACACGCAGTCTCAGTTGCGACATTAAGGAATGCAAAACGTCACGCTTGCATTGCTTAGTGTCACAACGCAGACTGCGTTTTTTGTTTAAACATATGTTTCGGCATTGTCATTCGCTGAGCTTCCTTCAAAAGTTGTGGTGATAGGCTCTCCGAGTGTTGTGCGGGAAAGTAGACGCACAGTTTCCTTTTTTTAGATTGTCGGACAACTAACCGAATAATTATTCGGCTGATCTTACGGGTCCCTACAAAACAAGTGAAAGTTGAAGAACCCTACGTGTTTTAAGCTAGATCTTAAATTGGGCGTAGATGAGGCAGTTCCTTTACCGAAAACGGTAGACCTACGCCTGGTGTTCGCTATTCGTTGCACTGTAATATGTTTGCATCATTTTTATAAAGCGCCAACAATTAAGGTTAGCCAGCCACAGCTCAAATTTATTTTGTTGGCTATAGCATAGGCCTCAGACTATCCTATACCAAACATTGTTTTCGAAATGGTAGACAGTCCCTCCAGTGAAAAATAGAATGAAAGGCTCCGTGATTCATCTCGAAATGTTTATTGTACACTTAGATGACACATGAATTTGATAACCCAGCAAATCTTCTGGCAACAGATGGTTCCTTGATTGTGTTTCTGGAAAAAATAAAATAAAATCACCATACAGCATATAAGCAAAGACAGTTAAGCTCTTTACGCCTTGACATATTAATCAAAACAATCATTTTAAACTAGCGCCATGTAAAAATGCATATGATCAAAGACTCGTTGAATTTAACGGTGCATTGATCTGCAATCCAATACCCACGGATTAAAAATCCGAAACCTAACTTCTTGCAGTCATTAAAACAGTTATTTTTTTTAACATTGACATTTGATATTGTAACCGTGCTATCATGTACTCAAGGTACATGTATTCGTTGTAACGTTACGTGCCGTACTGTGAAACGTAGTTTATGACTGGACCCGACACTCGCCAGTGTGGCTATGAATGCACACAAGTGTTGTATAAATTAATGGATGATTTTAAAATAAATCAATCTAAATTAAATTAATTCCTGTTGATAAAATTCTAGACCGATAGGCCGGCGACATTGTACTTACACTTCTTCTTGCGGAGGAGGGTGGCGTAATCGCCGTAGGTGCCGAGGCCGTAACCGTAGTTCAGGCCGTAGCTTCCCAGGCCGTGACCATAGCCATAGCTGCCGGCGCCGTAGCCGAGGGATCCAACGCCATACCCGTAGACCGGAACAGCGTGGGCGTAAGTGGCGATGGCTGGGGCAGCGTGGTAGGTCTGGTAGGTGGCGACAGCTGGGGCATGGGCCACAGTGGCAATAGCGGGAGCATGGTAGGTCTGGTAGCTAGCCACAGCCGGGGCATGGGCGACGGTGGCGACAGCTGGAGCGTGGTAGGTCTGGTAGCTGGCCACAGCTGGAGCAGCGTGGACGGTGGAAACCCTAGTCACGGCTGGAGCAGCGGCGTAGGTGGCAACTGGAGCAGCGTGGTAGGTGGCGACAGCTGGAGCGGCGTGGTAGGTGGCGACAGCTGGAGCGGCGTGGTAGGTGGCGACGGCCGGGGCGGCGTGGTAGGTGGACACGGTACGACGCACAGCAGGAGCAGCAACAGTGTAGCCAGTCAGACCAGAGTAGCCAAAGCCGTTTCCAAAACCGACAGCGTTGCCATAACCGAAGCCGGAACCATAGCCGTAGCCGGAACCATAGCCGTAGCCGGAACCATAGCCGTAGCCACCGTAGCCAGAGTAGCCGAGGCCGGAGCGGCCGACGCCGGAGAGGCCGAAACCGGAGGTGACAACTGGAGCAGCGGCGTAGGTAGCGACAGCTGGAGCAGCCCGGTAGGTTGAGACGCGGGTGACAGCTGGAGCAGCCTGGTAGGTAGCGACACGAGCGACAGCTGGCCGGTAGCTAGCGACTCGGGTGACAGCTGGGGCAGCGGCGTAGGTGGCGACAGGGGCCGCGGCGTAAGTAGCGACAGCCGGAGCAGCCTGAATGGTAGACACCCTAGTCACGGCTGGAGCAGCGTGGTAAGTGGCGACTGGAGCAGCTTGGTAGGTAGCGACGGCTGGAGCGGCGTGGTAGGTGGACACGGTACGACGCACAGCTGGAGCAGCAAGAGTGTAGCCAGTCAAACCAGAGTAGCCAAAGCCGTTTCCGAAACCGACGGCGTTGCCATAACCGAGGCCGGAACCGTAGCCGTAGCCACCGTAGCCACCGTAGCCAGAGTAGCCGAGGCCGGAATACCCGAGGCCGGAGTGGCCGAGGCTGGTGTAGCCGAGGCCAGAGCTGACGACGCTGTGGCCAAGGCCGCCATAGACTTGACCAGCAATGGCGCTGCTGGCCAGGGCCAGAAGAAGGCAGGCACGAAGCTAGAAAATAAACCAAAATTAGCTCCTCTTCTTCTCTAGTCAAACTGTAATGAGCATCTTAATTTATTTGTGTATGTTGTAGAATTTCCTTTTCACGCTGTAATGACTCTTCCTCCACTTCTTAATATGACCAGAAAACGTAATCATCGGTGGCAAAGAAACATAACCGCTTTGCGGTCAAAGCTGGGAATGATAAAAATTTTGAATTGTCAAGATTTGCCGCATTTCACGAAAAAAAAAAAGTTATAGTTCTAGTTTGTGTATGCAAAGTATTCAAGGCGCTGCACAGAAGTTCTCTGCGCACAATGGTGGGATCATTTCTGACTTACATTTTTGAATTGTAAGTATTTTAAGCATGCGATAGTTTTTATTGAAGTAATATTCCGGATGTTTTCGATACGCACTCCGAAGTTAATGTTTTAATATATTTTTCAACAACTGCAGATTTAAAATTAAGTTCTTTATTGATTTCCACGTGATGAGGCGACTTTAAACGTCCTATAATGGTTTGAACCATACGATTGGTTTAAATTAATATGTGTCCCAGATGTTTGCTTAAAATGAAGAGACCTCTTGAAAATGTGGTTTGTGCTCGTTCACTAAAATATCCCAAGGACGCTAGGCTAAATTCATAAGCTAACAGAAGCAGTATTTATGTTAAGTCTGTTAAACTGCATATTTCAGAAAATACTCGTGTTACGTTGGTGATTCTCATAAAACATGGGGCAGTGTCATTGAAATGGAGTTTAATGCCTACGTCCTACCCCCAGTGCGAGAGCGGGCAATCCTCAAGCATATCTTTGATGTGTCTAGCTTAGTTTATTTTCGTCCTTAAATTTTACCTGTCCTATAGCAATTCCTCGTAACTTCCAATACCTTACGTAAGATGTTTTTGAGTAAGATCAAGTACGCCTCAAGTCAATTTCAGCAGGCGTCTTGGTAAATATATCTGTCGGAAGTGATCAATTGCAAAATCTCAGTTCTCGTCAGTAGCTGTTCCGACCAGTCCTAATAGAGAGATATAGTTTTCCACTAGAAGCAATCCAAGGTACTAACAGGAAAATCATCGATCCACGTTTCACTTCATCAGATAGTGGGAAGTTATTAGGAAGTTAATATAACCCTATTTCTTAAGAAAAACATGTTGCAAACAGTAAGCCGCAAAGTGCAGTGAACAGTACACTTACTCCAGTCATGGTGAAAGATGAGTGTCTGCGAGAGTCCGACTGCTGAATTAGGTCAGTTCCGATGCCCCTTATATAGTGAGCCGGAGAGTGCTTGCCACCTGTACACTTAGTTAGAAAAACATTAACAAAAGAAAAGAAAGGGAATTGTGGCACTGTGGTTATCAATGAGACTAACACTTCCTAAAAATGACCTGCACGTGCTGATCAGCACGTGTTGGATAAGCTGGATAAGAAAGCGCCAAAATCTCGGAAATAAACTGGTTCCGCAAGACCTTGCTAGCACCCCTTTTCGATTTTTAATTTTTGCTGTCGAACCATGGCAGACTATTGCGTTTTTGTATTACCATAAACGTGTAATCGGATCACAGCAAGGATGCTGATCACGGGTGGAGCAGGTTTGTTCAAGATTTGTATAATCAGGGGAAATTCTGTCCGGTCGGTTCTTTCTTTCTTTTTTTTTTGCTTTGTTTAGAGTTCGCTCTACTTTAACATGTAATACTTACTTGTAAGTTGGGGAGCTTACGGACATTACAAAAACGGTCGAATAAAATTATCACTTTCAAATCCTATTACTACAGCACTCGCTTTTTTTGCATTTGCGCAGCACATTTTGATTGAATGGCTGCGTCAGCGCAAAATATTAGTGTAATTATATGGCACGTGGTAATATATAACCATGTGCGTATAATACAGTAATGTTTTTTAAGTACACTTATAATTTTGCAACACTTAGTTGTATTCTTCCTCAATTCAAAGTATTACACTTTCAAGTTTTGTATCTATTAAGCAACACGCTCGTTTTCAATTGTCAAAGTATTAGTTTTCTTTTTTTAAACACTACTTCCGGGACACAAGGAGTCGTAGCCAGAGTGCGAACCCAAAATATTTAACGATTCTGTTCGACTTCAGGTTCACGACTTTCGGTTCAGTTACGCTTCAGATTGGGGGAGAAAAAATAACGGTTCAAACCGGTTCGAACCGGTTTGAACCGCCGAATTGATAATATATTTTCCGCGTTACTTAAAAATAGGCACCATCTCCGCCGCGAAGCGAGTAAATATACTGTATAGTTTCTTTTTATTGTTCGTATAATTCATTTTTAGTATCATGTACCAAGAAGAATTGCGTTTTTTTAATTCGACGAAACAGTAAAAGAAAATCCAGGTTAACATTCATAACGTTGTGTTCACGGGACTCATCATCCATTTGTTTACCTCAGTCACAGATACTTTACCTTAACCAAAATGTTTGCACGAGGTGCAGTAGGTCGCTAAAATACCCTTCATTAGTAAAACTTTAGGCCGCAGTTTTAAAACTTGAATTGTAGTTATGCTCTTGAACTAAGAAATTAATTATAGTGCATAAAATCATAAAATGAGCACATCGTTGCCAATTCATCATCTAATATAGTTTACAAAATACGTTTCACAATATATATGATCAAGACGCAACTGAGCTAAAAGCAATAATATTTTCAAAATGTAACGAAAGTTTTAGGGCAAACCCTTTCACTAACCTTTATTGCTTATAATAATTCATTTATTTGGACTTCTTGAGGCACAGGTGAGTGGGCGAAAGGTAAACAGACTTCGCTTGAGAAGGCCCCCCACCATTATACATCGCACAAAAAAAAAATGGTAATAATGAACACGAACAGACCAACTGGTTGCAAGCATAGATACATGCGATTAACAAATGCACATTAAACAGGGAAACATGCTTTACGATCAAGTTTCAACTTGAATATACAGAAAGATTGCGGATGGTGTAAGGCCTAGGAGCTTCTCACAAACCTACAAATACAAATACAGAATACGTATACCATACACACATTCATGCATACGTAAATACAGAACTATTCAGATGCGTCCAAAAGGTGGTGTTTGATGGTCTTCTTAAATCTAGGTGATGAAGTACCTAGAAACACAGAGTGGCAATCACAAGGATTGTTTTCCTAACCAACATTGTTTACACTCAGCATCGTGATGCAGGCGAAGAATATTGCAGAAAGGAGTGATCAAAATTGTTCACATATATTCGCACCTTCGTACTCAGATCGGGTCAGACCTAAAATAGCGCGTACCCAAGTGTACATTTTCTTTTACTGAATAAACTGGCATAGTATGGCTACTGAGGTTTCTTCTTGACAAGATGCCGGTCAATTCAATTTGCAAATTAAGAGCCCCGTTGTTAATTTATTTATTCGTTAAACAGAACAATGTAGTATGTTATGCTCTTCACGACATGGTAACTGCTTAATTGGTCACTTTCTGACTGTCTGCGTGCACAATCGGCATAGTTCCGCCACGCTCCCCTGTGTACTTTGTTTTTGTCCAGCCCACATATATAAAATTGCTATTCATCACATAAAAGATACACCAACAGATATACTTTATATATGCTTTATATATGCACTATATGCTTTAAATGTTACATAAGTGTCGCGAACACTTAGTTATTTAAATCAGCTTAGAACTCGAAAAATTGTTTATATCTCTCCAAAATCACTTATACACGATCCTATTGAGGATAAAAACGTCGGAACCGATTTGCAGATAATCTTTCAGATAATTTGGGGGTACTTTTACTTATGATGTATATTTATAAGCTGATCGGCCCTTATTTATGTTGTCAAATTTTTAGGCAGTAAATAAATGTATTTTTACGATCAATAAATCAGATTGTATGAAGTGCACATAACCACTTGAGACCGACAGGAGAGGTTGGTACTCGAAAATACGCCTGCTGTCGAGCCAAACTGCGAAAACGTGCGTTTATTTTTATTTATTATTTTTTTTTTTTAGGGGCGAAGCTTCTTAGGGTCTAGCCTTGTCCGGCGTCCCTGCTCACATCGATTTCCACCCCATTTGTCTTCTTAAAAAAAAGAAAAAATGTTTTCGCAGTCGACAGGATTCGAACCTGTGCGTGGAGACCCCAATGGATTTCTAGTCCATCGCCTTAACCCCTCGGTCACAACTGCGGGACGAGTAGGGGGCTCTGAGATGTGGTAGCAACTCAAGAGCTGGAGATGTCATGGGTGAAACGTTGCATATGGCCGCTCAACGTCTATACAGGAGAGGGCGCTGCGGTTAAATGCGTATATAATCGCGTTAAACGTTGCATGCATTGGCCCAACGTTTATAGACGAGAGGGCGCTGCCGTCAAATACTCAAATGCGTATATAACCACGTCCCATACCACGCATTCCATAGTAACGCCACCCGGAACTCAGCACTATGAGCAGTAAAAAAATAAACAGCACCATCAGCACTACCTATGAACAAAATCAGTATCATCAGCACAACCAGAGCTTCGCCCCAAGTCAACATCATTCACCACGTGGAGATGCGGTCATTTTTTTTAGATATTTGGCTCTGTGATACACCGAATCACGGAGTACGCCAAAAGAGACTTGGAGCTCACATGATAGTTTTGAAGGCAAATACACGAGATCGTGCAGAAAGAGAGAGACACCCCCCAGACGAAGATTATGATATTCCTAACATAAATCACATTTAGGAATCAGATTGCATGAACTCGAACCTTCGCGAAATACTGCCATGGAAGGCTAATATTATATTCGGTTTTTTGCGCGCTTGTTTTGAGCCTTCACTTTACAACTCTGTTTTATTTATCATGCGCTAACATTTTAGGGAAAGCCGTTTATCATCGCGAAATTTCTATATATATATACTGCAAAACTTCACAATTTGGACGTCTACCTTTGCTAATTGTAGAAAATTGACTAGAAAACTTAACTGTTTAACATGGTACGTATGTGAAGTCTTCGTACTATAAGCTGGTGGTCATTGCAATTTGTTCTTTCTGAGAAAATGAAATTTGGTGGTGCAAAATGCATGATTCAAAAGGATCACGCTCAGTGCAAACAATGTATTTGGGAGCCAAATTATTTTTGCTTGGTGCAGCGTCGCAGCGTTGTGAGGAACGGCGCGAGCGTCTGGCCCCCCGGAAACGCGTATTCAGGCAGTAGTGGTTTAGCAAACAAAGTAGTTTCCGGGGCCAATCTTGTCTATGCCGTATCTGCGTGGCCGAGCAACCTTTAAAACTCAGTATGTTTTTTTTTTTTTTAATTGCTTCTTGATTTTTTTTTAAGGACTCCCTTTTCCGCTTGGGGTTGTTAATTTGACAATTATCTTTGTATTACTTGTTAGCAGTAATTCTCTATTGCTTTTATTTTGCCCCCAAAAGCTGTCAAGTTTAAACAAAATACGGAGTTTGTCGAAGCTTGGGGAACAACTTGAGAACGGCACTCCTGTGATGCTTAGAGCGGCTGCCAACGTTCGGCTGTCCCTTTGAGACCAATAGGATATTTCTTTTCGGGCATCCCTCCCGACGTTGCATGTAGTTCTATGCAACGTCGGGTTGATAGGTCCCATTTAGTCCTTTGAATGCTTCTATTCTCGGGGACAACTTTCTTAGGCACTCACGTGTACATGTAAAATGGGAGGTACAAAGGTTTTTGTACTTTCAATGAATAAAGCTAACAATCAATCCCTGACGTTGATAACTTGAAAAAGAAATAATTTTTTTCCCTACGCAAGATGGTAGGCGCAGAAAAAAAGAAAAAAAACAAAATTACCCTTTTAAACTCGCAATTAGAACAAGCGGCCATACGAACTGACGCCAATTATATGCCGTCAGTGTTCATCATACTCATGCAGGGTTGGCGAAGCATAGGACATAAGCTGAGCTTCAGACACTGTTAGGATTCATCGATTCTCCGCTTTGATTGAACGCGACTTATTACCGGAATGTTTGGTCATGCTGATTGTCATGAGCTTAAGCACTTGACTTGGGCTCATGAGAATCAAGAACGTCACGGCGTCACGTGATTCGCGGTGCGAAGTGTGATATCATATGACGTTACGATTTCAACAAGGCTAATTAATCCAGTGATGTTCTCAATTTAAATCGACTTGAGGCACTGAGTCGGGGAACTACTTCGCGTGACGTCATGATGGCACGTGACGTGACATTACTTGACAGTATGTCCGTACTGCCAATACCAAATTGCCACGAAAACCCAGAATTTCTCATACATTGCAATTCTCAATACAACAATTTGATCAATACATAGGAATACAGATGTTAACGTTTTCTTCTCAACTATTCGTTTTGTAATACAACTAAAAAAAAAAGACCGTGAACCGTTCTGAACCGGTTACCGTTATATCTTTCCGGTTCAGTTCCAGTTCAGTTCCAAGATGGCCGCAAAGATTTCGGTT